CCATCAGATCCCGTGAGACTAATTCACTATCATGAGAACGGCATGGGCAAGACCCGCCCCCATGATTCAATTACCTCCCACCAGGTCCCTCCCACACGTGGGAGTTCAAGATGTTAGATTTGGGTGGGGAACACAGTCAAACCACATCATCACACCACTAAATGAAAATAATTTGGGTTGTATAATCAATCCAAACAGAAAAGCTAAAACTATACTGCTTCTGAAAAAAACACACAGGAAACCATCTCTATAAACTTGGGGTAGGCAAAGATTTCTTGAGCAGGACATAAAAAGCACTAACAATGAAAGAAAAAAGTGATAAACTGGACTTCATGAGAACTTAAAAGTTCTGCTCATCAAAGGACACCATAAAGAAAACAAAAAGACACAATTATGGCTGGGCACAGTGACACACCCATAATCCCAGCACTTTGGGAGGCCAAGGCAGACAAATAGCTTGAGCCTGGGAGTTTGAGACCATCCAGGTCAACATGGCAAAAACTCATCTCTACAATAATTAGCAGGGTGTGATGGTGCATGCCTGTGGTCCCAGCTACTCAGGAGGGTGAGGTGGGAGGATTGCTTCAGCCTAGAGGTCAAGGCTGCAGTGAACCAGATCGCACCACTGCACTCTAGCCTGGGCGACAGTCAGAGCCCATATCAAAAAACTTTTTTTTTAATTAAAAAAGAAGACATGCCACAGACTAGGATAAAATGTTCACAATGTCTGCATTGGAAAAGGGCTTGTCAGTAGGTAGAGGAGACAGATCACAAGAAAAAAGACCAAGAATGCTGCAGCACTGGGCTGAGCGCCAGCAAGCAGGGTCTCACCACTAACGTGCCCCAGAGTAAATCCTGGGAAGCCTCACTGGGCCCCTCCATCCACAGAGCTTCCTACCTGGGCAAGGCCACTCCTTCCACTATGCTCGATGTTGGCCTTGTTTGCTGGCTGGAAAAGAACTTGCATCTTTGATGTTCAGCTCGTAAGCTGACTCCGTAGGGTGATGCTGGTTTTCTCTTCCTCAGAGTAAACACAGCATGTAAACACCCATGGAGAGAAAAGGTAACCTTGCCTTCAACATAGGAGCCAGGTGGCGAGACGGTGGGTTTTGGCCCAAATCCAAGCTGCCCACCGCCACTCCCCACTGGCCCTGTGAGCCAGGGGCGGCCCTGGCAGAGGGGGAGGCAAACGCTCCTGTTCTTGTTCAGATCCAAGCCCACCGCTTGCCCTGCTGGCCATGCTTCTGGGAAAAATGGAGTGAACGATGGTGTCCACACACTCCTGCAGCCAAGGATATTCCAGATCTCAAGGCAAGCTGGGGCCTGTGCAGATGGCCCTGAGCGCCAGTGGACAAAGTGTCCTGGGCCTTCTGGGGTCACTGGGCTCAGGGACACAACGTTCAGTGCTTGACCCTTCCCCAGCATGGCCTTCGAGTGGTGGCCTCCTTGGCTCTGTCTACTGCCAATTTTTGGAAAAGTTCCTCCACCCTGGCAAGTGCGGGTTCCACTGGTGCCCCAGGTGAAGCCAAGGCCCAGGCACCAGAATTTACTTTCTAACATCAAGGCAGCTGCTTCTGCGTGGGGTAAGGGCTGACAGGATGGGACTCAGGCTACAGGGTGCAGAGATGGCAGAGGCCAGGGCAAGGCCATCGTGCTGAGACCTTTCCGGCCGGCGTTAGCCTGGTCCTGTCCAGTGGGGCAGGACAGCCTTAAGGAAGAGCCTCAAGGAATCCAGTGGCCCTGGTGGCCACACTGACCCAGCCTCTCTGGCCTCTTCTGGCCACGCAGTGGCTGTGAGCAGCAGGGACCAGAGTGCTCAGGGCCTGCAAGGCCACCACATGGCGATGCCTGGGCTCCAGGCAGGGGTACAGTAGAGCCCCAACAAGGCTGGACCTTTCTAGGCTGTGCCCGGGGTGCACAGAGGCCTCTCGGGGACACAGGAAAGGTCCAGCCCCAGGAGCTCACAGCTGGCCAAGGAAGGGGCTGTCTCTGTGTGGCTGAGTCCCATCCCGGTTGGGCCGGCAGGAGGGTGGGATGCAGGCTGTGGTGGCCTTGGGGAGGCAGTGGCAGTAGCAGGCACAGGACCCCACAGTGTGGCAGTGCCTCTGGGCAAGGCTTGTCCTCATCACTCCATGTCAGGGAGTGGACAGGAATAGGGCTCTGAGCACAGTGGAGGGGGCGCCTGCCCCAGAAGGGATTGGGTGCTGGCTTCCTGGGAGATGCAGGGTGGGGGTGAACCATCATTCAATGTGGGGTGAGCCAGCAGCACTCAGGCATCTCCCATCAATGTGGGTGAGAGGGGAAAGGTTTAAAGATGCATCGGGCCAGCCCGGCCTCCAGGGACCACTCCCTGTGGCAGGAAGACATTCAGGGCATAGTGAGCCACACTGCAGAGGGCTGCCCAGGGCCTTGGAAAGGAGAAAGACTTGCCAGAGCCACCCTCTCCCCTGGGTCCCCTGGGCAACCAGGCTGTTCAGTTCCTGCAGCCCCTCCTTCCCTGCTCCTCACAGTGACCGGCCCCAGGTCCATCCCTTCTGAAGAGCCAGGACAGCTGCTTCATGGACTGCAGAGGACTTGGGGACTGGGTCAGAGTCCAGTTGCCCTCAGAAGAGCAGAGAGACCTTAGGGAATACTGACTGGGAGACTTCTCATCTAGGATGAGGACATCACCACCTGCCCTGAAGGGCTGCAGCCAAGAGCAAGGAGAGGCTTGTAAACTGTAAAGTGCTGTACTCATGGGAGGAGCTGGGGCACCCTGAGCTGCCTCTCTGGTGCCGTTGGGTGGCTTTAGGCGATCTTCTGTCGAGGTCAAATCCATGTGGGAAACTAAGAGACAAAGAAGCAAAGAAATTAAATGAAGTGTTTGTGTGAGTTTCAGAGGAATTTCGATTCCAAAGGCAGTTTTTACAGGCAGCTAAAGCGTCTCCTTGACAAAAATAAGTTTCTAACGAGGAAGTAACAGAGCAGCAGATGAAGCCCAGGTACTGTAAATCATTAGGAATGGCCGGCCTCCCGCCAGGGTGGCTGGAGGAACTCGAAGATGAGGAGGCAGAGATAAGAACAAAAATAGAAAATAGATCTCAAAAAACACAAACAGTTCTCATAAACACTGGAAAGCTGCTGATATGATTTTTCTTCTTTATATAAAAGCTCAGGGATGGTCCGAGCATTAGAGGCCACTGAATGGTACCTTTAGGAATAGAGATGGGAGGGAAACCTGCTTAATGAGAGACCAAGGCCCCCCTGCTGTGGCTCCGGGGCTGGCAGGTTCAGGAGGCAGCAGATCGCAGAGATAGAAGGTGAGGCGCTCAGAACCCTAGGAGGAATGCTGATTTTGTTTTTTAAGGCTGAGAAATAATAAAGCAGAAGCTAAAGGCTAGCCCCTAATCAGAACTCTTTGTCTGGCAGAAGTTCATGCATTTAGACTCATTGGGGTGGGGACTGGAGCTAGACTGTGGGGAGGACCATGGTGGGAAATAGAGGCTTTTGTTATATCGGGGTTCAGGGGTTGAGGGTGCCCTCAGCTCCCCTGAGAGGACATATCTCCAGGTTCTTGGCCTCCTGCCCTCTCAAGAATGAGAGAAGGGACCACAGCGCAGTGCGCAGTAAATGCCGGACTCAAAAGTGTTTGTAGAAAGTGAATTATTGAGAGAGAGAGAGAGAAACCGGAGAAGGAGAGACAGCTGACTCTCACACTGAGTGAGAGAATCCAGAAAGATGGAATCCGGGAGAGGAGAGCAGCTTCCACAGTGAGCGGAAGGGAACAGAGAGATGGAGTTTAGGAGGGAAGACAGGCTTCCACGAGAGCGTGTGGAAGGGAACTCCAGAGGGAAATCCAGGAGAGAGAAAGATGGCTTCCATGAGAGGAGTGTTCGTGGAAGGGAACCCAAACATGGAGTCAGAAGGGGTTTGAAGAAGGGGACTTTTAACCTGGGCGGAACCCCCACCTTCTCTAAGACCCCAGGCCAATGAAAGGAGTTCCTCAGAACTTCTGCTGGGGTGGCTGACTCTTAGTTTCTTCCCATGCCAGCAAAATTTAAACATAAATTGTTAAATCTCCTGGATGGAGAGGTGGGAAGGGGTCATGGCGCTGGGAAGTTCTTGCCCTTAAAACTAAACCCCTGTGGACCCGGAAAGAGAACATATTCCCTCACTTTGACCATAAATATGAACTGTCACTCTGACATCCAGACCTGTGGCTGCTACTTCGGCAAACATCCTTTGCCAGAAGAGGCTATCTTAGGCTGTTGGGGCTCCTATCACAAAATCCCATGGACTGGGTAGCTTGGAAACAACAGAATTGTATTTCTCATAGTTCCTAGGGCCGGAAAGTCCAAGATCAAGGCACCAGCAGATCTGGCATCTACCCTCTGCCTGGTTTGCCGATGACACCTTCCTGCTACGTCCTCCCAGGGTGGGAGGGACGAGGCAGCTCTCTGGCCTCTTTCATAAGGGCACCGGTCTCCTTCATGGGGGCTCCACCCTCATGACCTAATCACCTCCCAAAAGGGCCCATCTCTTAATGCCATCACCTAGGGGTTAGGGTTTCAGCATATGAATTTGGGGCCGGTGGGGGACACACATGCAGACCACAGCAGAGGTTTTGGGGGCCTACTTTACAGAAAAGAGAACAAGCCATTGATTTGCACAATGTGGATATGCTACACCATCTAACAGAAATTTGCCTTGTCTGTAGATTGAATTAAACTTCAGAAATAGCCCATTGGGTCTGGCAGGGCACTGGGCTAAATTATTAGGTTTTGTGCCAGGCTCTGAAGCTCACTGCAGAACTGGCCCCCTACTACTCTGGCAACCCAGTGGCTTCAAATAACAGCTGGAGATTCCATGGGGCATCTCCAGTTTGAGCAGGAGGCCTGCAGAGTGTGGTCAGCAGCGACTGGTCACTGGGAAGACGCTTTCACTATTACAGTTTCACACAGTCTGAGGCCCTGGTTTGTTGCTTTCTTTTAGCCAAACAAGCTTTAATCAATCACTTGCCTGCAAACATAGGAGCTTCCAAGCTGTGCTCAGATACGACCTCGGTGTGATGGTTTCTTCTAAGACCTGCAGAACACATAGCAAGAAGAAACCAGTGGGAAAAAGAATCAGTGTTAAATGAGAAGCACCTTGCACCATTTTCAACACAATCTCTGTTTTGCTAACAATCTTAGTTTTTCACAGTAGTTCTGGTAGTTCAATTGACAGTTGGAATAACTAGAAACAATTTTCAGGGGAAGACCTTTTCAAAACAAAACTGAAGAAATCAGTCAACAGGTCTCTTTCCCGTGGATGCTACTGGCAGGTGACCAAAGTTGACTGGATAGATAATAAATAATGACAACTGCAGCCACAAAGGACTAGAAAAATTAATTGCGTTTCATGAAATTGTACCACAAGTTGCCAAACGGAAGACATACTTTATGGTTCTGGTTTCCTTCTGCATTTAGTCACGGAGGTGGCATCGTGCTTCTGGAACGGGGAGGCTGGGCAACGGCCACAGGTTCTGTTTGCGTCGTCCCCCACCAGCACTAAGTGGTCTGTACATCAGGGGGGAGAAGTGGCTCCTTTTTCAACGCTAGTGGACTTACACGCAGACCATTCTCTTCGTTCTTCTAAAACCCAAGCCTTACTTATCTCCGTGACTGGGGACTCGATATAGAGCCGTGAACATTACACCTAGTTTGGCTTAACGAAAATCATTTTCTTGCTATGAAGGCATCCATTCTTGGGCATGTGGGATGGGCAACGGCAGCATTTCCAGCTCTGCCCCACAGTGTCTTGGTGACAGACAAAGGGGAAGGAGCATCAGTGTGAAGCCCTCCGCCCTCGGCAGGGGCGTGCACCCATCACCCAGTGTGGAGAGGCCTTGGTGGGGCAGGGAGCTCTGCGCCAAGTAGGGGAGTGACAGATGGGATGACGGGCTTTGCATCATTTTGGGTTTACTCTGCCCAGAAAGCTCTGGGGGCACTTGAGGACTCACACTTAGGCAGAAGTCGATCCGGGGGGCTGCTGTGATGGAGAGGAGATCCTAACCACTGCTTTTTCTCCTACAACTTTTCTAATCAGAATGGATCTCGCTGTCAGGAGGCCAGAGGCCATCAGAAGTGAGCTATGGCCAGGGCGATTTCCTGGACACGCAGACCAGGGGAGCTCAGTGCTCTCAGATGTTTTTTCCCTTTCCATTTTTTTTTTTTTTTTTGGTCCAACAAGAATCAATATTTAAGATTATGCAATGTCCGTACCAGCCTGAAGTAGCTGCCAACCAAAGGACAAGGGCTGGATAATTTACAATGCAAGGAATCCATTCTTTTGAGAGGGGGAAGGGAAAAAATAAAGATTTAAGCTTCTTATCCTGGGCTGAACTTTTCTCCTCCATTCTTAATGGCACTGAGCGTAAATAAACCATCCATTCTGTTTTGTATGAGCGGTCTGTACTTCGCACAGATTCTGTGGCATCGACAGGCCAGTTTTAGATCCTTGACCACAGGTATGAGCTATGACTGCCTTGGAAACAACACTTATTTACATTTTTTTCAACATACGGTACTGTCATTTAGCCTGATCAGAATCTACCCTGATCTTCTTTTGCCCCAACAGTCAGCAGAGAGAGTCTTTTCACTGTCGGCGACTAATGGTTTTCTGTCCCATATTTTTAATGTGAAGATTAAATATTTATAAATGCCTCGTCAATAGCATCCCATAACCAGGTCTTCCCGAAGCCGCAGACCGTGGTCCATGCTCACTCACACGAAGTCAGAGGTCACAGGTCAAGTGAGCAGCTCGCAGCGGCTGTGGGGTGCATCTGCTGCCACCAGGATCTGGACAATTATTTGCGGGGCAGGGCTTGTTTCTCAAAAAGCCCACATCATGGCCAGGAGAAGCCTCCTTTGTCTCCATAAAGCCCCTTCAGGCGAGGTGTTTACTGGAATCACAGGCTCCTGCCCCTGCCCGGTGACCTTCCCAACACTGTTCAATTTGAGGTGTCTCCAGGAGGAAGCTCCCCTCTTACCCACCCCTCAGAAGAGAAGGACATTCGTGTGATACTTCCCAGGCCCTGGGGGACAGGGCCATATGGATGGGGATGGGGAGAAGGGAGTGGGATGTCCAGGGCACCTGTCACCCCTGCTTGGGATGCGGCTTGCTTGGAAGCCCATGGTGGATTTTAAACAGCAAGCACGCGCACTCTGTGCTGCTGGAGACCCATGTGGGCATGAGCTTCCGAGGGTGGGACTGCAGATGGTAAGCCCCGGGAGGAGGGGGCAGGGTCCTGATGGGAGACCTGGCATGGACCAGGGTGGTGTCAGTGCAGAGTGAGAGGAGGCTTCTGTGGGGGTTGAGGGTTTAGCTGACAAACAGAGGCTGTAGAAAGGGGTTTAGCCGCCCCAGGAGAGACGGCGAAGCCCAGGCCAGCGGCTGGAGCGACCCAGCTCTGCCATGCGCATATTCCACAGCCCTTCCGAGGGCAGTGCCCGCTACCCAGGTGAGCGAGCCTTCTTAGCCCGGAGACAGAGAGTCCCATGAGGGAGCCCTGGGAAGGGGCAAGCGACACACTCGGTCTGGGGCTCAGTATCGCCTCCGGAAAGGTGGGGGCAGGGAGACTTACTTATTTTCCTTAGAGGGCTCTTAACAATACCAAGGGGGATGCTGGATCCCAGGGGCCGGAGGACGAAGGGGTCAAGGCCTAGGTGCGCCCCAGGGCAGGACACAAAGGACTGTGGGGAAAGGATGTCAGCAGGGTCTATTCACCAAACCCGTCCAAACCCTGCTAAAAACGGGGAGGGGGACACTTTCTGAAGACTTGAAGGAAAGCGAGCGAGGGCAGAAATCTGTCTCAGCCTCCCACCCCGAATGCCCGCCCGTGCTGGGGCAAATGGCAGAGGGAAAAAGGAAACCGGTCCACATTCCCGGGCTGCCGGCAGGCCACGCATCACCTTGACTGCGGCCCCGTCCAACCCCTGACTCCAGAAGACAGAGCCAGGCTGACACAGGAGGCCACCCAGCCAGGAGTGAGCTCTGCCCTGCTCAGCCCCGCCGCTCTGTGGTCCCAGAGGCCCCCTGTCCTCTACAGCGGGGAGGCCACCATCGGCTCTGCCCATGTCTTGGGATTACTGTGAGTTTCCATCAACTGAGCAGCATTCACACAGGCACGAGTTTCACAAACTGTCGAGTGCTGTCCAGGTATGACGCCACCCCTGGTGTTTGCACATGAACTCGAGGATGCTGCTTCAAGCTCCTGTCTCCCTCCTTCCTCAAGACAAGTCAAAAAGTATCCAGAGTAAGACTGGCATAAAGGTCTAAAAACCAAAAACAGGTCTGCAATGGAAGGACCCGCTCATGACCCCTCCCTTCCCCCTGCCTCTCCCCACCCAGCTCTACCCCCTGCCCCACCAGAGTACAAACTCCTAGAAGGCAGGGCTGCTTCCTGGGGCCTCCTGCCTGGGAGCCCGTCCGAGAGGGAAGGGAATGGATATGCAGCCCTGGACTGTAAATCTCAGTGTCTGGAAGGCACTCTTCCAAGACAGGAATGCGAGACGGCTAAAGCACCCTGCTTAATAGTGATGCATTGATAAAGTGATATTGATCATTATTGAGACTGGTCGGCCATCCATGGGGAAACACAAAACCAGCAGGGCAGCCTGGGTGAGCAGGCCCCTCTGTGGGCCGACCCGGGGGACGGCCAGTCTCGTAACTGCCACGATGATGATGAACACGTATTGATTTCTTTAGTGCCTCTCCTCAGCCCCAGAGCACTTCATGCACTTATTGGAAAGTGCCTGAAACCAAATTGAAGACAGGCCCAACGAGGAGTATCAATCCAAATGTTAAGGGCATCGGAGGGCTCTGGAGCCAATGGGGAGAGACAACAGGTCTTCAGGCGCCCCGGTTCCAAACACTTAAGGAAGTGCTGTGCCCCACTCTGTTCAATAGCAGCTTCCGCCTTGCCAGGAAAGCAGAAATGAAGAGGTGTCTACACACGGATGGCGGATGCACGGCTTCCAGGGAAGGAGCTCGCACAGTCTGCAGATCCATGGACATCCCTGCATGCGGTGCCCCCCACCCAGTGCACACATGATCGCAGCAGGGGTGCCGGGGACCATCTGCGGGCTGCTTCCCCTCCCCCGTCTTGGGTCTTGGGGCAGCCCACCTGCCCAGGCCAAGGCTCTGAGTCCCCTGTGGAGGGGCTGCTCTGCAGTGTGGCCATCTGAAACTCCATAGCCCTCAGGGAACCAGAGGGTAGCTTTCCACGGAGCATTTCAGATGTCCAGGCCCCAGGAAACATAACCATTTAGAAAAATTAAAACCATTGAGTCTTATTTGGAAATAATTCCAAGCTTATAGGAACACTGCAAGGATAAAAACAGTACTGCAAACACCCATCGACCCTGCACCCAGATTCGTTACTAATACCATGAATGGTGTCATGGTGGACTTCTCTGCCTGTCTGTGTATTTTCTGAGCCACTGTGGGGGAAGGTGAACACACCGTGGCTTGTATCCCCAAATACTTCCTGAGCGTAAAGCGTCATGGACACAGCCTCGTGTAGTTACCAGCTCTGGAGGTGTAACGCGGACTCAGTGCTCTGTCATTCACATTCCTGTTTTGTCAATTAACCCTGTGACATCCCTCCTCACCGTGTTTTCCTTCCAGTCCGGGGTTCAGTCCACTGCCGTTAATTGCCGTGCCTCTTGAGTCTTCCTTCATCTGGAACATCCTCACAACATTTTGTCTTGTCTGATATCCACGTTTTTGAAGAAACACGCAGGCTTTAGTCGCAGCCTGCACACTGTGGTGGCTGGGCTGCAGGAAGCTGCCTCTGACTCCCAGGGACACAGGGACCAGCCCCAGCCCCAGCCCTCCAGCCACGGCTGTGTCACACCCCTCATCAGTGGGCTGCAGGGGTCGGCCTGTGGCTGCACGTTTGAGGTGCCCCAGAGTGGGCCTGGGGAAGGAGCAGAGGCCACATGCCTCTCTGGAGTGGGCTCTTTCTGGTCATGACTGTGGCTTACACACTTATGATGTAGGCAGCCCCTGCTCTAGGCGAGTAGGGTCCGTGGGGCTCAGGGACCACAAAAGCCCACACCAGAGCTCGCCCACAGCTGTGAAGACCAACTCTTGGCTCTGCAGTGCCGACAACATCTCTGAGTGGGTGTGAGGGTGCTGGGCTCTGGGCCGATCTGGCGAAGACTGGCATTCCAAGTGAGGTTAAAGGCAATTCGAAGAAAGAGGAGCTGAGGGAATGAAAGAACCATCCATCAGAAAGCCCTGTGCATCTCAACCCGCTTTGGGGCGGGGTCCCCTGCAAAGCCCTGGGTGCCGTGTGGGCTGGGCAGGCTCCAGGGAGGCCCAGGCCAGTGCTGCCTCCTCGCCTCTCTCCCACCTGTGGAAAGACCCAGCGCCCTGTGCTGGCAATGTGCCCACCTCCTGAAGGGGGCAAGACCAGAAACCCCCCAGGAACACACTGGGCCGGTGGGCACTGCAGGAGTGCCAGGATGGGGTGTGGACCGCACCAGGGACTGATGCAGAGCCTGGAGATGGCAGCCTCCCCAGCTGGGTCCACGAGCCCAGGCCACCTGGAGCTACACCGCAGCCAGGAGGATGGCCTCAAGGCCTAAGGAGCCTGGGACACTTTAAACGGCCTCCCCCCTCAGGCTCTGCCGCCCACTTAGGACAGATCCCACGAAAGACTGCTATGATGAGGTTTCCAAGAGCTCCCTTAAGAAGAGGGGAGGGAGAAAGGGGGAGAGAGGGTGGTAGGTGCTTGGAGTGAGGTCAGTGGTGGGAGTGAGCCAGTGGAGGCAGTGATGGTGGGACACCCTTGTGCGATGCCTGCTGGTCCCCAGGAACCCCGGTCCAGGGCAGCTGCTCTGGGTAAGACAAGCACGTGCCTTGCTCCTCAAAATGAGTCCACCCTGCGGTGGCACCAAGGCACGAAATCCCAAGGGAAAAGGCTCAGGCAGTCCCCTTGGAGAATTATATGTTAAAATTTTACACCGCTCTGAGTCTTGTACAGGAGAGAGGGCATCCTTTAGAAGCGACATCCCTTGTGAGCACTCTGTGTCATGGAGCCAGAGAAGGTGAAGCTGTGGCTACAAAGAATAGAGACACAAAGAATAGGTTCAAGCCGGACCCAGAAAGAGCCGTGAAGTTAATCAACACCTGGTGTGGTAGACGGCGTCCTAAGATTGTCTCGAAAAGTCTTCTCATACTCCCTTTGCAGGTGACTTTGCCATAACTGTCGAGGAGACTATGTCCCCTTCCTTTGGAGGTGTCTGCCCTGTAGCTTGCTTTGAGTAATGGTTGGACCTGGCAGAAGTGAAGCTGTGTGAGCTCAGGGGCCCAGCTCCAGCCAACACACCCCGTCTCCACCCTTCCAATGCACAACCCTGAGGCCAGCATGTGAGGAAGTCTCCCGGGCAATGGAATCCATACAGGAGGGAACTGTGGGGCCCCCAGGGACAGCAAGCAGCACCTGGACAGGTGAGCCAGGCCATCCCGGACCCTCCCACCCAGCAAACCCTCCAGCTGAACACACCACATGAGTAAGGAACTGCCCAGCCAACCACAGAAGTGGAAGAAATAGCAAAGCATCACCCTGTATGCACCATGGTGGTTAGGTAGTAACATCACTGAAATGGAAGTGGTGTGCTGCTCTAACACAAACCTGAAACTTTGGCCTCGTTTTCAAAGCAGGCAGCAGGTGGAGGCTGGAAAGGTGCTGAGGATGTGCTGGAAGAGCGATCTGAACAAAGCAGTGACAGAGCCACCAGCAGGACTGTCGCCAGCGGTAACCTGGAAAATAGAACATGTACCAGAGAATGTGTAAATGTGGATGAAAACATCTCTAAGTAGAGTATTGAAAGTGTCAATTGGGAAAAGATACAGGAAGAGTTTTCGCAGTCTACCCATCTGACAAGGGGCTGATATCCAGAATTTACAAAGAACTAAAACAGATCTACAAGAAAAAAACAGACAAGCCCATTCAAAAATGGGCGAAGGATATGAACAGACACTTTACAAAAGAAGACATACAGGAGGCCAACAAACATATGAAAAAAATGCTCATCATCACTGGTCATTAGAGAAATGCAAATCAAAACCACATTGAGATACCATCTCACACCAGTTAGAATGGCGATCATTAAAAAATCTGGAGACAACAGATGCTGGAGAGGACGTGGAGAAATAGGAACACTTTTACACTGTTGGTGGGAGTGTAAATTAATTCAACCATTGTGGAAGACAGTGTGGCGATTCCTCAATGACCTAAAAATAGAAATCCCATTTGACCCAGCAATCCCATTACTGGGTATATATCCAAAGGATTATAAATCATTCTACTATAAGGACACATGCACACGAATGTTCATTGCAGCACTGTTTGCAATAGCAAAGACCTGGAATCAACCCAAATGCCCATCGATGATAGACTGGATAGGGAAAATGTGGTACATATACACCATGGAATATTACGCAGCCATCAAAAACAATGAGTTCGCGTCCTTTGTAGGGACATGGATGAACCTGGAAACCATCATTCTCAGCAAACTGACATAAGAGCAGAAAATCAAACACCGCATGTTCTCATAGGTGGGTGTTAAACAATGAGAACACATGGACACATGGAGGGGAGCACTACACACTGGGGTCCGTTGGGGGGAAATGGGGGAGGGATGGGGGTGAGGAGGTGGGAAGAGATAGCATGGGGAGAAATGACAGATACAGGTGAGGGGAAGGAAGGCAGCAAACCACACTGCCATGTGTGTACCTATGCAACAATCTTGCATCTTCTTCACATGTACCCCAAAACCTAAAATGCAATAAAAAAAAAGATACAGGAAGAGACAGATGGGCTAAAAACCAAAACCACCCAAAACTCCATTCAGTTTGCAAGCAGAACTGAGAGGGAACAGAAATGCATTAGGACCCACTGGTTAAAAAATAAAAGTATTTCTCATTTTTGGTTTTAACAGTCAGCAAAATATCCCTAATAGAAGAAAAGGCCTCAGAGTAAGGACTGATTTGGGAGTCTGCTCATAGGATCCTTTGCTGAGGCTTCAGAAAGACCAAAGCTAGTGCCTCAAGGACCCTCTCAATAAGGGGCTAGGGGCTTCTAAGAACCCATGGGGCACTGTCTCTTAGGAGTCTGACATATCCAAAGCGAAGAGGGGTCTTGTCTTGAAAAGAATTACAGTTATTTTTGGGGTGCCTAGAGAAACCTCAAGCCCCAATAAGAATCATAGGAGACTCATAAAAGTTTTGAGAAAAATGTATTAATAAGAGCACCACCAGCTTTCACTGATATCACTCAAAATTAAAAGACACTTCTGAGCCTCCAGCTTCCTATGGGCTGGAAACAGAAAAAGATGCTCATCTTCAAACATGGGCCATTTCTGATAGAAAAGAAAGGACCCTTGGATAATAGAACAAGAGAACAATGGAGAGAAAAAAGGACTAGGAAGCCCTTTCTGAGAGCAGAACTGTGCCTTAATCAAGAAACATCTTCTTCCTCTAGAGTAGGGGGATCTGACTACCTAGGCCCATCTGGAGCTTAGAACCAGTGACCGCCATTGTGCCTCATGTTCTTCCCCTTTCAGATGAAGGTGACTGTTATGGTCATCCTGGCCCTGGATCAAAGCCATGTGTACAAGTCCAGGTGGACGTGATGTTGATCATGGCACCATGGACTTGGAGCCAAATCCCCTACCTGGGATAAGACTTTTAGCCATACTGAAATGGGAGAAGGAACATGGGGTATGTTGGAGAAAATAAGGAATTTGTGGCCAGATTGTGGAATGTGATAAATTGTTTCATGGCCACAGAGTCTTCCTTTGAAAAAGGCATGACGCTTTGCAGTGAAACTCTCCCGTACATTTCTCAGCTCTATTACCTTGTGACTGCCTGGGTCAACAACAGAACGTGGCAGAAATGATGCTGTGTGCGTTCAGAGCCTGGGCCTCAGCTGGCCTTGGAACTCCTTTGTCCTTTGGGATTCTTTCTTGAGACTGCCATGTAAGAAAGAACATCTAACCCACAAGAGGATGACATGCTACAAGAGGAAGTGAAAAGGGCTAAACCTGTGAGTGGGACCAACCTGGACGGTCCAGCCCTGTGGACCTTCCCACAGAGTGGGCTCACCTGCAGAGGAAACCAGCAGAAGAGATGCCCAGTCCACCCATGCAGGTGAGCCCAGAGGAAACCAGCAGAAGAGATGCCCAGTCCACCTATGGAAGTGTGAGAAGTAACAAATCATTGTTGCTTGAAGCCATTACATTTTGGGGTAATTGGTTATGTAGTAATAGAAAACCATACTATCTACTCAGCATTTTGGGAGGCTGAGACAGGTGGACCCCCTGAGGTCAGGAGTTCAAGACTAGCCTGCCCACATGGTGGAAAACCATCTCTACTAAAAATACAAGAATTGGCTGGGCGTGTTGGTATGTGCCTGTAATCCCAGCTACTTGGGAGGCTGAGGCAGGAGAATCATTCAAACCTGGTAGGCGGGAGCTGCAGCCAAGGTGACAGAGCAAAACACCATCTCAACACAAGAAAAAAGAAAAAGTATAATATCTAGCATGACTGATCCAGACCCAAACAAACAAAAAGGAAGGAAACGTGAAATGCTAATATCAGAATTTTTTTTAAAGGAGAGATTTATAGATCCTAATGATACTAGGGGTGAGTAAAGGGATATTGTGAACCTCATTATGCCACAAATTCAGTAACAGAGAAAACCGATAAATCCTGGAAATATAAAACGTTATAATGACACAATGTAAACAGAAATATTGTGAAATATAAATAGAAAATGTGAACAGCCCCCTATTTGTTGTTTAAATTGCATCTGCAATTAAAAACCTCCCCAAAAGAAAACTCCAGGCTCTGAAGGCTTCACTGGTAAATTCTACCAAATATTTGAGAAATAACGAAGACCAATTTTACACAGATTCTTTCAGAGAAGAGAAAAGAGGTGACAATTCTCAACACATTTTTATGAGTCCAGCATAAACCCACATCAAAGCTGGGGAATAATGAAAGAGGAAAAAATTATAGCCCAATATCATTCTTGAACAGAAACAAAAGTCCTTCACAAATCAAATCCAGTAATGTGTAAGAAATATAATACAATCATGATCAAATGAGTTTACATCAGGACTTCAAGATTATTTTAACATCTGAAAATCAATTGTAAGTCACATTAGCAGAGTAAAGAGAAAAACCATGCCATCATCTCAAGAGCTGAGGAAAAAGCATTCAAGTCATTCATGGTGAAATTCAACTCACTCGTTTTGAAAACTCATGCATTTTTAAAACTCTCAGCAAATGAAGACTGGTAGAGAACTTCCTCAATGGACCAAAGGGCACCTAGGAAAAACTCACAGCTAACATCATGCTTAATGGCAGGAGCTTGGATGATTCTCCCATAAGATGGGAACATGGCAAGAATGTCTATTCTTTCCACTCCTCCCAACATTGACGGGAGATGGTAACCAGTGAAATGAGTCAAGAAAAAAAATGACAGACATAAAATGGGAGAGGAAAAAGCAAAACTTTTTTTTTTTTTCCACAGGAGACATGATCAGATATGATAAAAATCCTAAGTCATCTAAAACTGTTAGGACTAGTAATTTTTTTTAAGTTTGTGAGCTTCATGGACATAATTAAAAATTGAGTTGGTCATGAAAGAAAGGAAAGTCTGAGAAATGGTCACAGATGGAGGAGACTAAATGTAATGTAGTATCTTGGAATGGATCCTGGAACAGAAGACCAACGTTTGTGGAAAAACTGGTGCACTCCTAATAAAGTCTATAGTTCAGTTACCAGGGTTTAATTGTCGTTACGTTCTTAGTTTTAATGATTCTACTATGGTTACATAAGAGGCTGATGTTATGGGGGTCAAGCTGGGTCAAGGCACATGAAAACCTACTGAACTATCTTTGCAGTTCTTTTACATCTCAAATTATGTCAGAATAAAAAGTTTAAAAATGCAAAGACACAGGAGAGTCTTCTTGACTATGACAGAAGCAGGGTGATTCTGGAGGCAGCTGTGTGGCAGCCTCCCCACCTCCAGGCCAGCTCTGCTGTCCACATCTGGAAGTTGTTCCTGAGAGCTCAGGCTCTTAAACTTCTTTCCAAAGATCCTGAAGCTACCTAATACTCTATAATCAATCTCTTGCTGCTTAAAAAAGTCTCTACTAAGAAAATGAAAAGTCAGGGATTGGGAGAAGATATTCCTAACACGGAAAACTGACAGAGGGCTTGTTTCTCGAATATACAAACTCCTACAATCTAACAAGGAGGTCACAGTACAGAAATGAGAAGGTGGAGGCTGGGCACAGCGACACACGTCTGTAATCCCAGCACTGTGGGAAGCCAAGGCGGGCGGACTGCCTGAGCTCAGGAGTTCTGGACCAGCCTGGACAACATGGCAAAATCCCTCTCTAAAAAAAAGAGAAAAAATAAACAAAAATGAGCAAGGGAGCAAACAATCACCAAGAAGTGTGGGAACAGTCAGGAAGCACACTGGCAGTGCTCCACGCCATCAGTCATCCAGGAAATGCAAAATGAAACCACCACAAGACTGCCCTCACACCCAAATAAAAAGGAATGGCAACCCCGAATGTTGTTAAGGATGATGGGCAATGTGCCTCGCTGGTGGGTGTGTGAAGTGGCACAGCTGCTTTAGAAACCCAAGAGTGTCTATAAGGGTAGATGTACAGCTGCCCACCCGTCGCATGCCATGCATGCGCCTGGGAGACAAAGTGCATGTCCACCAAGGGGTCTGAGAAAGA